TGCGTTATATATCGTATATTACATTATTATATACTGGGATTAGGTTTAGATTAACAGGTTTTAAGCTCTAGGTTTAGATTAACAGGTTTTAAGCTTCTGCGTTATATATCGTATGTTACATTATTATATACTGGGATTAGATTTAGATTAACAGGTTTTAAGCTTCAACGTTATAGATAGTATAATACATTATTAAACTAGGTAAGCGGATGACCAGGTTTAGTGCACACCCATAATTTACATGCATAATCTTAAATTAATAATGATTGATAATTAAATACGATGGTGTTAAAATGGGCATTCCACATATAGCTGGTAATTATACTTTGAATAAAGAGTCACATTTCTGGCAAAAAAAATGAGCCCAAGAAAGTTGTGTATCTTCATTGAGTTTGGGGTCGTAGTGAAAGAGATTGAAAGGAAAGGAAAAGCTCAATAAACTGAAAAAGAGTTGAATAAGAGATGGTTAAAAAGGAAATTACAGGAAATGTCAGCATGGAAGAGGGGAGTTTCCTAAAAAGGTGATTAAAAAATAAATATCGATGCATCCAACCTGAGAATGATAAAAATGGAGTATTAATTAAGTAATTGGAGTAAAAAATCGAAAACGTTTTATCTTGCTGAAGGTCTCATGCTTGCCGTTTTTCAGGAATTGGTCTTTGATAAAGGACCCAGGAACACCTTTGAAACACGGTGTTGGTGGGGAGGTCCTAATGATTTGAAAATATATTAGTCTAGTATGTTGAGACTGAAAGTAATTGATAAGAAGGACTGATACCTCTAGAATAGCAAAATCGAAAGAATATGTGGTAAATTGGTTGCATGTATATTTCCAAAACAACCCAAAAATAATATTAAAAAAACCATCAGTCCATCAAATTACAGCTATTGTTTCTAGAATGACATTAACTTGTGGAAGGAGTCCAAAACATAGTTTAAAGATAAAGTAGAAAAAGAACCTGAATGAATCAGTAGAATATTCATAAATAGGTCGGCAGTATTCGCTTTTCAGTAAAAAAAAAATAATGGAAAAAATCACCCCTGCAGGAGCTAGTATTAACAGTAATAATAAAATGTTAGTAAAAAGAAAAGCGTGTACGCCAACAGCACAAGCAAATATAGGAAAAAAATTACTAACCAAAGACATAGATTGGTCATCAGTGTATACAAGAATATKTATCAGTACTATCGATTCGAAATTAAGAGCTTTTCAATATAAAATCATAAATAACTGTATCTATCT